CACTTAGCTATATTATTCTATTGTTAGTTATTATACGTGTCTCTTACATAGCTCTAGAAATATCAAAAAAAATATCTATTTTGTGATGACTTCTCTATGATATTTTTTGTTTTTATTTCGTTTTTTTGTCACCGAATATAAATTTCTTGTGTAATCTGAAATTTTGTTCTCTTTATGCTTGAGCACTTGGAGTATTGTTATGCCGGGGTGGTGGAGTGGGGGAGGAGGGTAGTGGGCGTTAGGCAGGATGCGGAGGGAGCGTGGTGTGAGGTGGAGGTGGAGGGGAAGGGGAGGGAGGTGGTCAGGGGGGATTATGTGGTCGGTTGTGATGGGGCGAATAGCGCGGTGAGGAAGTCGTTGTTTGGGGAGGAGTTTCCGGGGTTTACGTGGGATGCGCAGATTATTGCGACGAATGTGAGTTTTGGGGAGGGAAGGGGAGGCAAAGAAAAGGGGATGCTGACCGTGGTAGACGTACTACCCCTTCGCGGAGAAGTTTGGGTGGCATGACGCGAACTTTATCGTACACCCGGAGCATTTCTTCGTAAGAACCCCATCTTCATTGGCACGACCTCCCCCACCCCCTCCTGCTAACAAACCCAGATGGCCGCCAGGATCACCCGCGACGGCCTCTACCGCATCACCTACGGCGAGACCCCCGGGCTCACTCACGAAGAATACCTAGCCCGCCAGCCCTGGAAATTCGAGACCATCCTCCCCGGCCACCCCAAGCGCGACGAGTACAAGGTGATCAGCACCTCCCCCTACCGCATGCACCAACGCTGCGCCCCCAAGTTCCGCGTCGGCCGGGTGCTGCTGGTCGCCGACGCAGCCCACCTCTGCAACCCCTGGGGCGGGCTCGGCATCACGGGCGGGTTTGTCGACGTGGGGGGGCTGTACGACTGCCTCGCGGGGATATGGGACGGGAAAGCGGACGACTCGATCTTGGACCTGTACTCGGAGAAGCGGATCGAGAAGTGGCGGACCATCATCGACCCGATCTCGCAGGAGAACTTTAGGCGGGTGTCGGACAAGGATCCGGCGACCAGGTTCCAGAGGGATGAGTTTATGCAGATGTTGAAGAAGGGCGAGAGTGACGAGGCGTTTTTGAAGGAATTGTTGTTGGCGCCGATGGATGTGCGGTACGAATTTACGCAGCATTATAATGATGCGGCGAAGAAGGAATAAATATAAGGCGTAGGCCTTTGTTTGGCAAAAGATGTTAGATCTTACAGTTCCTAATTATCCCCTCTTGCGCCAACAACCTGTAATTAACCGAACCCAGTCCCATGATGCCATGCAAATGAAACCCATACATAAACCTCGCCGTGTATTATCTACCCCTCACCCTCATACCCACGCCTGCTCTCTGACAGGCTCCCTCCCAACATCCCCCCTCCCACCGGCGCCATGATACTGGAACTCAGTACGATAATACGGCCCTTGCTGTTCCGGCGTCCCATCCCTCCCCGCCCCCACCATCCCAATATCCGCCTCCTCCTGCGCCACAACCTCATACTCCCTCGCCCCCTGCGGCGACGCCACCACCCTTCCTTCCATCAACCACTCCCTCCCCTCTCCCTCATCACCCACCACATCCCCACCAACAACCCTCGCCTTCCGCCTCGCAGCCTGCTCCTCCAGCAGCACGCGTTTGATCTTGCGCATCTTCCACCAGATGTACACGGCCATGGCGAGGGTGGCGACAAAGGCGACGGCGAAGACGATGTTCTTGGCCGAGTTGTCGGCGTGGTCCTGCACGAGCAGCACGCCCAGGTAGACGAGGAAGATCTGCTTGGGCAGGGTGAGCAGCGTGGCGATGGCGAAGGCCCAGAAGTTGACGCCGCAGGTGGCGAAGACGGCCGTGCTGAAGTGGGAGGGGATGGCGGAGAAGCGGATGAGGAGGACGATCTGCGGTGGGGGGGGCAATGTTGGTTAGCGGGGGTTGGTTTGTTGTGGGGGGTGGTGAGGAGGTAGAATCTCTGGAGAGTAGTCAGGGGGGTAGGTAAGGGGGCAGGCTTACCCAGAAACTGCCGTCACGCGTCAAGCGGGCGAGGGCGCCGTAGTTGAGGTTCGTCCGTTCGAGCTTTTCGGCTTTGCGGCGGACGAGATACTTGAATGCAAACCAGGTGCCGACTGTGGGTTCTATCAGTATTCCTCCCGCGTGTAACGTCTTCAGGGCCAAACGTACGCTCGCCAAAGAATGTCCCCGCGGCCACGACTCCGAACCCGATCCATAACCCGTATACCACGCCGCAGAGGAGAGCTATTATCTCGTGGCCAAAGAGTGGGGGAAACGATATGATGATCAAGATTGCGATCGGGATCAGCCATCCGGCAGGGAGATCGCGGACCTTTTCGGACCACGGTCGAAGGTGCTGTCATCTTCACCGTCAGCGGGCGTGTTGCTTTACACAGACTATCGATTGGGGATGGCATACCTCAACGACTTGGTCATGGTAGACGGTGAGAAGGATGGTCAAAACAATGGCGATGATCGTGATAATCCAACATGCTTTTGAGTCATTTATTAGTCTTGGTATCGAATCATCGGATACGGGCTGTCCTTGGGGAAGCGCGGCATGGTTACACACCGAGGTATTTGGGCGCCAGGAACACCCGCTTCCAGTTTACTGGCTGGTAGTCCGTGTCCAATTCGCGCACCTTTTGGCTTCTCCCCCGAGACGTCATTTCAAGCGGTTTGCTGTCCCCCATGGCAAGTAATTTGAAGAGTGGGTGCACCCCTTGACGAGCCCCTTCGAATGTGTTCACGAACAGAGGCTACAGGACGAGGGGCAGGTGACGGATAAGTAGTAACCTGTAACCATGGGGTTGTCGGAAGCGCATGGGAGGGGAGATTTGCCGGAGAGACGGGGTGGCGAGGCGGTGCACGGGAAGGTGGCACTGCTCCTGTTTGGACCTGCAACAGATCAACAGGTTCCACGCTCCCAGTGGCTGTCATGTCTGTGTGTCTTGCAGCCAAGAACGGGAAGCGATTGGCGAAAAAGCTTATTTCCAGGCTGAGGCCTAGGGGCACAGCCCAAGTTGACGTCAGTCGCCCGGTTTTCCCCAAACGGGAAATAACCGCACAAGGAGGCTTATTATTTCTCTTCCCTTTGGTGGGTTCGAGGTAGAGTGCAGAATGCTCATGGTGCTGGCAAGGCTCTCGCAGATGGCAAGTACTAAATTCGGATCAGATCAGGTGTCTGCCTTGTGCTCGAGGGGGCAGTATTGGCCGCTGGATTCAAGACCGCGCGATGATTGAGAGGTTTCGGAATTGAACATCCCAACTTTGGGAAATGAGCACAGGGATGGCATGAAACCGCCGCAGTGCGCCTTGGGGCACCGGGCTGCCGGGGCAGCAAGGGCAGGTCATTGATAAGCGCGATAAGGCAGACCCGATTTTCTCAAAACCGCTTGCGCGGTTCTGCGTCCTGGGGCCCACCTCTCTAGCCGATCACGTGCAAGCACTTCCAATGTTGAAAATTTGCAGATGCGCACAGACCACTGACACTGCCTATTTAAGGTCTGCGATGCTCCCCGAATTTCAGTTCTCTTTTCTTCTTTTTTCTTCATGTCGACAATACTTCAGAGAATCATTTCTATAGTATTCGTCCTCTTTTGTGTTCCCTAAAGGAGCCACAGATCCCACCCGGGTTGATGAACAATATCCTCGGCACCCCACAGTGAGATCCTTTTTTACTCTCGATCTGCCTGCAAAGGCGGCGGTCGCTGGCTTTTGGGCCGCGACTGTATAGAGAGTGGCGATGATCTGTACCCCGCCTTTTCGAGGTCTTGCCTTCGGGCGCTCGGGCGGGGTGGGTGTCGATGGAAGTCTGACCGGCCTTTTCCTTCTTTTCGTTGCTTTCTCGGGCTCTGCTCGGGATGTGAGGAAGAGATTTTGGCGTTGGTCAGACTGCAAAATTGGGTGCTTAACAGCGTTTGTCGCCGCCATCTGGGCGTTAAATCGCATCGACACCGTCTTGGTCAGAAATTTATTATCTTTCGATACGTTAATCAACGCGGTAAATTTATTTTTGAAGTCTTGAGATACCAGACCAGTCTTCTCGGCGCGTCGGAGCGCTTGCGATTCTGGTGGCCGCGCCAAGCCGCGGATTTTGACGGCCCCACCTCGAACCGCAGGCCAACCAGGTCAATCACCGACAGCGGACGCCGACTCCCTTCGGCGGGCCACGGCGCGAGCCATGCTTAGCGTTCAATGATACCTAGGTAGGTAGGCTTGACCAAGCGATCCGGCAACATGATATGTAATACCTGTTCCCAGGAACTCTCACAGCATGGAATATAATGAGCCCAGGAACATTCCATCAAAGGAGTTAAACATTCTCAAAGCCCAGAGACGTACCATGTCCCTGTGCCCAGTTCCACGACGATACAAACGAAGCAAGAGCAAGAGGGACACCAAGCTACCTTGATTATCTAGCCACGCTGTAGCTAGGTTATGTTCCCGCGCCAGCCAGCCAACCGCATGATCCCCGATGCTCCATCCCCCACGAACCCAACCCCCAAACGCCTGGCATGCCATGACCCTACCCCGAAACACCCACCACCAAGCAAGTATCAGCATCCCCCTTTCCCAATCACCTCATCACCCCCTTCCCCCCCCCCCAACCCCATCCATCATCCACCATCCTCACCAACCCTCCCCTGTCTCCCCTACCCCACCGCGCCGTCTAACACCCCCACTATCCCCAGCACCCCCACCGCTACGACTGCTGCTGCGGTCTCCGCGGTTGCCTCGTCGGCCACCACCACCACGGCTAGTACAGCTCCCGATACCATGGCCCCGAAGTTGGCTGCGGGGCGTTGTTGCGCCCGATGCCGCTGCCGCGTGGGTTGGTGGGGGTGGCGGAGGCGGGGTTGGTTTTCGGTGGAGGGGGGGTTGTTCTCGTTGTTGGTGGTGGTGGTGTTGGAGTTGGTAATGGAGTTGGTGGTGGAGTTGTTGGGAATTGTTGGGAGAAGCGGCCGCGGTGTTGTTGGCGGTGACGGTGCCGGTAGTGGTAGCGGTGCTGGTCTTGTCCGACGCGGTAGTGGTGTGGCTCATAGCGGTGGGGGAGCGCTCATACCTGGCGGCCTCGGCCGCAAAGCGAAGCGCCTCGAGGTGGTGCCGTTGACAGTAGCGCGACACGTGGTAGCGCTCGAGGAGGTGGCGCCGCCGGCATTGTGGCGTGCCGCGGTGGACGCAGCGGTTCCAGAGCATGATCCCTTGGGTGCAGCCGCAGCCCCAGCGGAATCGCTTGTACCAACACATGGCGGCGGGGTGTTCGTTGGTTGAGCTGCTGGTTCGGAGTTCGGGCTGCGTGGAGGGTTCGTTGGATGAAGGATTGATGCGCGTAAAGTGAGATGGACGAGACGACGAGACGGAAAAAGAGTCCTTGTCTAGTTTGTTTAGTTTGTTGTGAAGTGCTTGTGGGCTTTCAGACGTGTTGGAAAAAGTTCTTGCGTTGTGATCTGAGGATCGGAGCAAAGGGTCAAGTGTGATCCTGGCAATATATGGCCACCCGCCGAGACTGCTTCTTGCTGTGCTCCTCCTGCCGCTCTGTCATTGCAAATGACTTGCCTGGGGCTATTCCCCGGTATTGTGCACTCGTTCACAGGTGATGACAGCCTATCTATTGTTTGTCGTTATGAATAGGATGACCGATGCCCCCTATTGTACTGCTCTCGGTCCCAACCTGCAGATGGCTTCATTCTTACCAAGTAGCTCCGTCGGATCTGTGTTTCATGTGGGACGATGTGTTTTGCAGTAACGAGACGAGGCATCATGGAGCTGGTGGATGGCGCCAGGTCACTGCCCAGATACGACCCGTACTAGTTGACATTATCACAGGGGGGACGAAAAGATGTGACAACTATCTGCAAACAGTCGAATGGTTTTGACAAAGCTAAGGAGCAATGCAGGTTCTACTTTTGTTTCACTCGTCAGGTTGTTTGTAGTGTTTGATAAAGGCGCCCAGAAGCTGTATGAAACGTCATCTTCTCGTACACAACTTCTGCAAAGGTCTAACCGTCTAATGTTCGGCCAAGAAACCGAATAGAGCTTGTATTACCTCAAAAGGTACCTAGGCAAGAGGGGTCGATTACTTTTTGTTGAGTCTGCAACTGGTGTGAGCATGTCAATAAATTGAAACAATGACCTCAACCCACCACGCATCGCCTTGAGCTCGGTTCCCGCTTAACGCTACTGAAAGACTTGCAGCGACAGACATTCCGGACTCCAGCATCCATAACGTGGGATGTAGCATTGAGAGGGTCCCAATGGTTGCCCTCGATTTTGGTGCCGAGAAACATTTGACTGACTAGTGCATGGATTCAACGAGGGTTGCATGGGTCATCTTTTTCCATTTTCTTTTTTTCCACCGAGACAACACTGGAAAGACTAGCAGACTAGCAGCATTGGACCGTTCCAGCCAGGTTGGCTGTCGACCACGTGCACATACGCGACGGCTTCACTCAACGTGTATTGGTAACGCCATAATCCTCGAACGAGATAGAATTTGTTCGCCGTCGTAAGAATCATCGCCTTCCTTGCTGTCCTTTCTGGGTGAGGTTTTGATGTTCGGTCGGTCAAGTCGCGAGGCGGCAGCTTTCCGCTCCAATTCCTGCATGGCCGAGTTTTGCCGTGGTGGAGACCAGCAAACAAGCCCTCGAATGCCCCACATGGTCAGGGCTGCCACATGGCTGGTAATGGTTGCCCGTTTTGGAAATTGTTTGGGTGACGCTGATGGGAAACAGAACCATCGAATTTATTCCAGAAACACGGCGCTTGGTACGGATTTGGGCATGCAAATCAACCAGGACGAAGATCTCGGCAAACAAACCCCCCTCCCCTCCTTCCGATCTTCAAGTCGGCGATAATGGAAACTTATTGTGGGTACGATCCCCGAAACCCTTGTCGAGAAGAAGTTAGCACATCGCAATCGCACGACCCCAGCAGCCTAGCGGCCCGAAAGCGACGCCAAGTCGGGACCAACAAAACAAGATTTTCCTCAGAGAAGCCGCGGTTGAGCCTGGCTCCACCGGGTGAGTTCCAAGCTCTCTCTCAAACCTCGCACACACCAGTGACACCGAGAGACACAGTCCCATTAGTTTGATGATGGCACGCTGACGAAGCGTCGGATGCAGAACGTACAGGCAAGCTGCAAGCTGCAAGGGGCGGGGTTGCTCGATAGGTCGTCATGTCCGCGGGACGTTGCATGGCCCCCTTTATCGTGTCACAGCCACCATTGCGCGAGATTCTGACACTTTTGGTTCCCGCCGCGGCGAAACCGTCAAACCGTCGCTTGACAGGCAACTCCCTGTTCGAAGCAACGGCATCAGAGACTGCCGCCTGTATTAGCGCGAGCATCCGGAGAGCGATCTTCTTGGGCTCGTCAAACATCGGCACCTAGATGGAAGGATAGCAGCCGACGAATCTCTCCTTTCAAACGCGGAATGGCTATCCCCTTCTTAGGACCCAGGCTTAGGTGCACAACCGGCACTGATGCACCACAGGCTTGACTCCTTGGGCACGCCTGAATCCTGGGTACGCCTGAATCCTGGGCACGCCTGAATCCCGGGCACGCTTGAGTCCTTGGCGCATTGGTGTCAACTCACAGCCGGCCGAGGACATTTGCACGTGCGAGAGGATGACAGGCTCTGGAAGTTGCACCAGCCTTACCACCAAGACGTCGCCCTTATATCTCGAATAATTATCAGGATGCCGGTTTCTCGTTCCGCGTAGCATCGGTCCCTCGCTCATGGACAACATCCGTTCCCTTCATCGCCGCCAGGGTCGGAAAGAGTGTCCCTTTTCGTCAAATCGCGCGGGAGCTGACAGCCCCGTAATGGAAAACGGCCCCTCCTCGGCCCACGGAGAGCGGGTCGGGATCTCCATACGCGGTTTTCACATGGGGTGCTCACATCAGTCTTGGCCATTCACCATCTTCCAACCGTTGCAATGGAGAAGTTTGGCTCGTCACAGCTCCGCACGAAAGCAGGGCCGGTAGTATCCCGCGAGAACAAAATTATGAGTGGTTTCACCATGCGCCGTCTTGGGCAAGGTTCCAATTTCCATGTTTCTGTTGCACCCTCTGCACCGCCATCGCGGTCCCCGATCTGTCAAGGACTCCCTGCCGACGCATGTCAATATCACTCCCACGTTCGTGGAATCTGGGGTCGGGAACCGGCTCATGTTGTGTGGGTCTTCGGTAGCGGTCCTGGGGATGTATGTAAATACAAGGCGCTCCCCCCCGCTCCCTCGGTAGGGGGCCGAGTGATGGACTGACAGGACTCCGCCTCTCTCCTTTGCCCAGCTTCTTCACCAGGGCTTTGAACCAGGCTGCGAGGATCTCATCGCGAATGGTGGCCTGACATGTTGTCCCTCCGATATGCATGCGCCATTCTTGGCCTGTGTCTTTTTGCCCTGAGCAATGGCGCCGCCGCCGCCACTACGGACAGCCCACTCTCGCTCCAGGAGGGCTACACCGACCTCCCGGACTGCGCAGTACGTTCTGTAGCCACCCATGGAAGAGACAGCCGGCTGACGGAGCACTCTAGCGAGATTGTTTTGTTACCGCGATCGACCAGTCTGCTTGTGCCGCGGTCGAAGCTGCTTGCCTTTGTGGTGATGCCAAGTTTAACAAGGCGGCCACCGGGTGCATCCAGTTGTCTTGCAGCATCCGAGAGTCCCTGGGTATGGCTTTCCGGCAGGCATACTTGGCCATTCACCATATGCTGATGTTGTGTAGCGGCTAAAAACATTACCGAGCTCATGTGTGGGCACTCCCCTGAGAGGGACGCAAGCCTCATCCCGGTGTACTCTGTTTTTATCGGCCTGGCCGTCGTGGCCGTGATGCTGCGGCTAGTTGCGCGAGTTCTCACGCACGCCTACTTCTGGTGGGATGACTTTGCCAACCTCTTTGGCTTCGTAAGTGTGCCGGTTGAGGTGTTATCGACATTTGCTGACCGGGCTCAAGATCGGCTCTGCGCTGTTCACAGCTATGAACCTCAAAGGTAGCCTCCTACTCTGCTATTCGAGGGCCGAGACCGAGACCTAACCGTGTCTTCTAGCCATTGACCTTGGACAAGCGCTGGATATCTGGTTCGTCCGTCCCGATAACATCACCCTCGTCGTCAAGGTAACCCACCCCAGCCCCGTCCCCTTCATTGCCAACCCGATCATTAACCCCGCCTCAGATGTTCTTCGTGGAGATGCTCCTCTACACCATCACCCGGTTCTTTGTGCGCGCCTCGATCATCCTGTTTTATCTGCGCGTCTTCCCGCCCAGCCAGGACAATAAGCTCGGTCGTATCCTACAGTATACCATGATCTTCAACGTCGTCTACAACATCAGCTTCCTCTTCGCCGTCATCTTCCAGTGCACGCCCATCTCGGACTTTTGGACCCAGTGGGAGGGCATCCACCAGGGCCGCTGCGGCAACGCCAACATCCTCGCGTGGGTGGCGGCCGCGACGGGCATCGCGTTCGACGTGTGGTTGCTGGCGCTGCCTTTCCCGCAGCTGCTGGCGCTGAACCTGCACTGGAAGAAGAAGGTGATGGGGGGGATGATGTTTTTTGTTGGTGTTGCGTGGGTCTCCTGCTGTCTATCTTGAGGCCGAGCAGTGGATACTGACAACAAGCCACAGCGTCATGATCATCAGTCTTGTCCGCCTCAAAACCATCAACGAGTTCACCCGGGCCGTTAACCCAACCAGTCAGCCACCCCCCTTCCTACCCCCCTTTGCCAACCTCCCATTCCCCAACCCAACCCCCTTAACCCAACCAACCCCCTCCCACCCCCACCTGACCAAACCCTCGCATACTAACCCCCACACAGAAGGACATCGTCCAAGTCTGCCTCTGGTCCGGCATCGAGCTCGACGTCGGCGTCATCTGCCCCTGTCTGCCCTCCTTCCGCCTGCTGCTGCGCCGCCTGTTGCCCCGCGTCATGGGCACCGCCTCGTCGCGCTACGAGCTCGATCCTGTTTCTGGCACAAACTTGACCGGGACGGGGGCAGGGATGGGTGGTGGTGGGGTGAGGAGTGCGGTGAGGGGGAGTAGGGGGGGAAGTGGGAGTTTTGGTAGGGGAGGGGGGAATCGTAGTGGTGGTGGTGATGGTGGTGGGGGGGTAGGGAAGATTGTGGTGGAGAATACGATTGCGATTAAATATGGGAGGAGTGGGGAGTTGGATGATGATGATGGGGTGAGCTGTGAGAGTGTGAGGGGGTTGGTGGAGGGGAGGGCGTCGTCGGTGGAGGATGAGGAGAGTGGGAGGAAGAGTATTGGGAGGAGGGGGAGGTAGGGTGCTAGGGTAGCTGATGCTAAGGCCGGGAATGATGATTCTTTCGTTTATGAGGCATGGATTGTTGTTGCTGGATCCTTTGTGACTGCTTGACGGTAGTGTCAGGTTGCCGGTCTGGGAATTTGCACATTTCCTCGACGCGGCCTGGAAGTTTCCCTCCACATTACACATCTGTCCGTACAGATTACATATCCATGCCTCCACTTCCATCCGGCGGCACTCCCGCTTTGCAGCACGTTGCAGTCGGCCTTCCTTCCCCTTCGCCTCGAGCCCGGCCTTCCCAACCAATCACTACAAGGCATAAGTCCGACCGGTGGGGACCTCCGGCCGTTACCCCCATCTGTCGGACCCGATAGAACGTCACCACCCGCTTCGCAGACATAAAACCGCCCACCACCACCACCATAATCCTGCTCCTTTCCTGTCTTCACAAACCAACCACCCACGGTAAACCCAACCACAACCACAACCCCAACACCAAGTTATCCACCACCACCATGGTAACCTTCAACTTCGCCTACACCGCCCCCATCAACCCGCCAGGCGCCAGCCCCGTGCTCACCCCCGCCCAAGTCTGGACCGGGCTACAATACAAGGTCCGCCGCGCCGAGAAATTCGTGCCCGTCATCACCGCGTGCGAAGTGATCTCGGAAGAACTCCCCGCCTCACGCGCCGACGGCCAGCACGTCATCACGCGGCGGGCGACCTTTGCCGAGGGCGCGGGCCCCAAGGGCGGCGGTACCATCGTGGAGGTGTGTCGGCTGTACGCGCCGTGTCGGATCGATTTTGGGCAGGAGGATGGGACGACGGTGGGGAATTATGTGAGTGTGGGACTCGCGGGGGAGTTGATGATGACGTATGTGTTTGAGTGGAGGGTGGAGGGGGTGGTGGAGGGGAGTGAGAGGGCGAGGGAGTTGGAGGGGGGGTATGTGAAGGTGAGTTTTTGTTTTCTCTTGAGTCGAGGGTGGGGGTTGGGGGTGGGTGTTAATTAGAAGGTGGGTGTGGCTAACTGATCGTTGTAGATGGCCAAGATGGCGGTTGAGGGCAGCATCGACACGATCCGGAAGATTGTCAAAGGGGAGATTGCTATGGACTGAGAAGGTTACGGAGCTGCGTTGTCAAGAGAAACACTCTGAAAAAAGACGGGGTTGGCTAGGGTGTGGCATATTCAGGGGTACCCGGACTCGGCCAGCCTTAAAATAGAAATATCAACGTATGGGGGACCCCAATCTCCGGTTCTTGCTGTAATAACAGGTGTCCGGTGGTGTCATGAGCTGAAATGAATAATCCATGCTAATAACCTGCGCATGTCAAAGCCATGGCCCGACCCCCTCCCCATCCCCGTCCCTGTTCCCCCTCACACCCCCCACGGGTGAGGCGGGTAAAACATGGTCATGCCCGTGTCCACAAACCCCTTAGTACTGCACAGCAGCTCCGGCCCGTCCGCCGTATCCTGCACCATGTCCCAGAACCGCGCCATCCCGCTGAGCGGCAAGTCAGCCGGAAATAACTTCTTCTCGGTGGTCTGCAGTCCGTGTCCTGCAACGAGCACGGGCGCGAACTGGGAGCGCGCCCCCTGACTGCCCGTCTTCTCTCCGTCAGTGGAGTAGTCCGACAACCACCACCACGCCGAGTCGCCGCAGAACTCAAGCTGCTCGTGATTGCGGTGCGAGGATCGTGTGTAGTGTAGGTCTAGTCCGTCCGAATGAGTGTCGACACTCAGGATGGTCTCGCCATCCTTTGTTGCGAGTCCGAGGTCGACGGTCACGGTGACGTTGGAGGTGTTGTCTACGAACCTGGAGAATGTCCTGGTACCGAGCATCCGTCTTGTTAGTCCGTTTTTAAGTATGGTATGACGTAGGGTAAGCAAACTCACAGTTGAGCCTTATGTGGCCCTAGGATTTCCGCACGCGTCCGGATGACGTCCGAACTGTTGAGGTCTGCTGGGAGTCAGAATCTGTGGCCCGCGGGGCGTGGCAGTTCGGTGGTTGACGTACAAAAATGATGCGATTCCGAAATAAGCATTGACAGAAAAACCGGGCTGAGCTCGAACATGGCTGTTGCCATATATCTTTGGCCTGGTTCCGGCGCGGATACGAATATACCGGCCGAGAGTTTGGTCGAACAGTCGTCGCCGCAACAGAGGGCGACACCGTGATTGACATGCGGCCATGTACTGGAGTTTGGATTGTCGCCCGGGCGGACGGCTACTTCTGGGACTCTCCAGGTGGCGTCGATGGCTGAGAAGTTGCCGACGCCAGGAATGTTCGAGGTGTGCATACTGACTCCGCAAAGATCCTTGCGGTTCTTGTTTCCAAAGGCGCCTGGAAAGCTGTATATCGAGAGAAGGAGAAAGAGCCCGGCGGCTTGCTTGAAGATTTGTAGCTGGTGCATTTTGCGATTGCAGAAAGGTTCGGGTGAGAGTTGTAATAGGCGGCGTGTTTGTGGAAAGGCCACTCTTGAAATGTTCATGGAGGAATGGTTAGAAACTTTCAGGAGTTGGAAACCGGAGTGGTGATCTAGGACAATATAGTACCCCTACCTAGGTATGGTGGCCTTGGGTGCCGCGTACCTACCCACTATTATACGTCATGCGGCGGCCCCTCAGTTTGGATGAAGCCAAGCGTAGCACGAGAGCTGCTTCTTTGTTATATAACGAGCCACGCGAACCTTGGAGTCGGCACCCGTGACTAGGCAGCGTTGTGTCCATCAACTTTGGAGGAAAAGGGATATGAAGATTCTGCACGTCAGTTCCGGGACCACCTGAGGAGAAGCTTGGGGACCGGAGTTATGGCTGCCCGGCTGAGTTCAGCTAACATCTCTGAATTCCATTCTCTCCAGAGTACCAAGCAAGCCCAGGATCAAGATATTCCGACCCCCGATACCATCACACGCCAGCCCCTTAATGCGTAGCAACCTCCTTGACACTCGCCCGGTGCACCCTCGCCAGCCACGTCGTAGCCATAAACCGCCGGATCCTCTTCCCCCACAGCATAAACACCACCAACGCCAGATTATTCACCAACACCACCGCCCCAAACACCCCCGCAATCATCACCGCATACCCATACTGCATCACCCAGCTCAGCAAATCCAGCCCCATCCCAAACGAAATCGCCTGCTTCCCCAGATTCATCGCAATCAACATCTCACTCACATTCGCCGTATAACTATCAATCGCATACGCCAACGTAAACGTAAAAAAGAAATAACTCGCAAAGTTATTCATCGCCACGCCCACAAAATACGCCACCCAGTGCAGGTCGCGCTCCGCCGCGAACCCGTACACCACCAGCCCCGCCGGCGCCAGCAGCACCACGGGCAGCATGACGCCCAGCCGCATCTCGGCCTCGCGCACCCCGCCGTTGTGGCGCGTCAGGCGCGCGGCCAGCCGGTCCGACGACGCCGTGAAGGGGAGCGCCAGCACGTAGCCGAGCAGGGAGGCCACCGCGATGAGGCCCGAGGAGGTTTGGGTCCAGTTGTAGGGGGGGGAGGTGATTTTGAGTGGGAACGTGTAGTTGAAGCTGAGGGCGCCGAGGCCGATGTAGATTCCTGGGGGTGGGGGCGGGGGGTTAGTGGGGAGGGTAAATAAAAGGGGGGAAAGGGGGGTTGGAGATGGGGGCTCACCGTAGGTGGTTATCACCCAGAGGACGTGGGGGACGAGGAAGTAGGTGAAGGAGCGGGCGATCATGAGGAAGAATTCGGTCTGCTTGTCGTAGACGCCCCAGAATTTGAGGGTCTGGAGGAAGGTTTTGCGGGGAGGGATGGCTATTGCGGGTGTTGTGTCTTCAACCATGATGGCGTTGGAGGTGGAGTGTTTGTCTTCGGTTTGGGAGCGGGAGGATTCAAGGGGCGTCTCAGTCTCTGGTTTGTTGCGGTGGTACAGTGACTCTTCGACGACGAAGAAGGCGAGGATGAGAAGGGCGCAGCCAAACGCAAACTCGACGTAGAAGAATAGGCGCCAGGAGTAGCCGCCGGCGAGCATGTATCCAGCGTAGAGTGGGCCAGTCGAACCAAAGCACAGGCAGACTGCACACACACCATCAGCGTTTGAGCATCGTGAGGTTATGTTGAAAAGACAAACCAGTGTAGTAGCCCAGGCGCTTTCCCCGCTCGTGCAGGAAGAAGATGTCGTTGACCAGTTGTACAGGAAGCGCCTCGCACACGGACGAGGCAAAGCAGTGGATGATACGCGCCGCCATCAGCCCTTCGTATGTTGTTACCTGCGAGCAGGCAATAAGGCCGGCGCAGTACTGCCACCCAGGTGTCAGTTAGACGAGATCTCGGCTCAAAAGCACCGCAACAAAGGCGAGTAACTTACACCAATCAACGAACCCAGCATCACTGGTCGGCGACCAAACTTGTGATACGCAGGGACCAGGAGAAGGGAACCTGCCTTTTGGTTAATGCCGTCCGTTGGTCCGCAGGCATTCGGGGAACCTACCAAACCCAAAGGCGAGATTCGCATAGCTAATTAGGTTGCTTGCTTTAGTTGGTGAGATGTCAAATTCTTCCGAGTAAATTCCGATGTAGACTGCCGGGCCAAGAAGTGCCGAGTTGCTGAGAAATGAATACGCAGAACAAACAAGGAGGATGAGGCTCTTGCGGGTGTTGGACCACTGTGTGGAGGAATGTCAACGCGCCGTAGGCTTTGTTTGTCCGTGTCAACGGTTGGAACACGAACTTGTAACGGGTCGTTCGGGTCTTCTGCAGGAACCGGATACAGAGCCTGACCGTAGCCGGTGTCGTCGCCCTCTGGTGTGTTTCTGTCAGTATCTTCACTGAGAGTACAACGATGGCTTTTCTTTTGAGCGTACCTTTGGTGCTAAGGTCTACTGTGCCGGGTACATCACCCTCCCTGGCATGGCTATTAATCGGAGGTGTCAGTTAACCGTCACACGTCTGATGTTGCAGTGAGGGACTGCACCTCTGCACTAGGTGCCTCCCTCTGTCTTGTGGAGAGCCCATGGTTTTCGAGGGCTCGAGGCTGAAGTGTCAGGCTCTATCAAAGTTGTGTGAAGTTGGGAAAAGATGAGGTGGGTCGCCGGGGGGATGCATGGTAAATAAATTAATAGTTGTTGAGACCGGCAGACGACGCCGTTACACGACGGGGGAAGGTCACCAGCAGGGGTTGGTAGAGTACCACCTTGAGGGCTTCAAGAGTCCTGACGAGGATTACCTGCATGATGCTAGGTTCTTGATTGGCGTCAGATTGGGGAAATGTAACCCATGGAGCCCATGTCTGCCGAATCCAACCAACGACGGCGTGGTCTGGCCCGTCAACCTGGTTTGGAATGGTCTCACTGGTTTTCTCGGAAACCATGATCCGTGGGACGCGTGCAGCTTCGAATAGATACCCAACATCCCTGCATCCACCGCGCCCGGATCTCCATGTCTGACCTGAATTACTCCAGTGTTGGACAAACAAGTCTGCGGTAAGCCAATAATCCAGCCACCTTGGAGAAAGTTGGAGAATGAGGGGTCGCTGTCGAGCCCGAGGTCAGCTAGTTGCGCCACGCTGAGATCGATCATAGATCTGGGCTCCGAATGGCTTAGCGTGGCATGGGATACCGTGCCGATGGAACATGCATCATGACTGCCGTGCCCACATACATTAGTTATTCTTAGGGTATGGTGGGTTTATGACACATGGCGGCCGACTAATCCCGGCCTCCGATCATGTTGTTGTGTTTCTCGGGCCGTATGTGTTTTGAGTTCGTCCAGGGGCCTTCCTCGAGGCCGTACCCGAGATCATGATCCTGCAGGCTATGGGTGACAGCCTTGCTCGTTGATTGACGTATCAATGCAATCCTCGCGCGGGCTACCACCCTGAAGACCGCTTTGACTAAGGTGCCCTTTCGCCCCTTTCCTTATACAGTTGGGGTCTGGGCATCTCATGCATTGGCACGGGAGCGACTGGATGGATGGATGGATGGAATTTATTTCGCCCGGAGGCACTGGGCCTATAGGGCCTTAGTACGCTAACTACATCCGGATCAAATCGTTTTGCCTTTAACTCGTACAAGCCCCCTACTTCTTCCCTCTTTCTCGCTGCACCATTTACCTCTTGCAAGGGAGCGACTGGGCAAATACTATGTTAATATGCGAGATGTGTGGGTCACGTGACCCCACATCTCTATGGGGTTATCCACCCACCTCCCCGCGGTCGGCCTCTTTTCCTCCTGCTTCCCTAGCTTTAGCAATAGCCTCAGAATGTGGACTTCGTCTTCCTGCTTCCAGCCCTGTTGCCTGCTCCAACATAATAAGGTCCAAGCAATCGCTGGTGTCGGTTGCGCGCTCCAGTTCTAGGCAAGACGAGCTAGAATCCTCATGAGCCAGCCGCATGGTGTGCTCAGCCGTCAAAAGACGTCAATTTACAGTTTAATTAACGCCAGACTCAATGAAGTGTGTGGATCGGTAAATGGCACTTTCGGACTAGCTACTACCGTGAAATGCCTTACTACGACAGAGTGTGTGTCTTTTGACGCGGTTCATCGCCGCTTATCATATATCTTTGATGCCGCCATGGCTTTTGTGAGTGACTCCAACATGGCAACATGGACGTTTGAGAAACATGGCACCTCATAGATGAGATTCGGCTGCATGTTAGGCCGGGCTCTCATCAAGGTGGTGATATGCATTAGGACGAGTGTTGGGTAGCAGTGCTCGCGAGGGACCATTGGGAGACTGGCGGTACGACGTCCCCTTAAGGCCTCAATCATACGCTAGTCCCCTAATGATCTTCATTCATTGGTGGCGCATTGAACTGGAGGGTCTCGGCATTGAAGAGAACACTGCCGTGATTGTGCCATAGGCTTATCGTCATGTGTCAGGACCTAACTCAAATTGATCTCAAATGGGCTGGACTACATCTTCCTCGCCACGGCCTGAATGTTGCGCGCGTCAACGGAGATGCCATTGGTGCCCCAGCAATGCCCAGCTGATGCCCGATGAAACTGCCACTGGCTGGCTTCTGTTGGATGTGCAACTGGGTCGTGTCTGGGTTGTGGCCCAGCCTTTCGGAAGAAAAGGGGCCGGATTCGATGCTGATAGACTTCCTCGACTCGACTGGGACATTAACAATTTTTTTTTTACTTATATATTGATCAAACTATATCGCACAGAACACCGTCATAGCTCTTCCCTCGTCAACAACGAGCTCTGCACCATCTCCAAAGACGTGCTGTTTTCTTAGAGGAACAGTGAGCAAACAACATTTGCAAGAACACTCCCCTCCCCATCTTCTTCTTGTCCATAATATATTGGACTGCCGAACACCTGGTGGTGTGGTATTTGGCCCCACCGTTGACTCGAAGATGGGAGAGAACTGGAATTCGGACACGACGGGACTTTTACTCTGTTCTACACGGCATCAACCCCACGACTGCACGGCTCGCGAGGAGAGTCCTCGACTGGCTGATGGACTCGGGGAAGCTGCCGATGTACAACTTAGCCAGGAGGCTCGAGCTGGAAGCGGCGGCCTGAAGCGCCCCCGTTCGGAGGCCATGAGGCCTCCTCTCTTTGTATACGCAGACTCACCAGAACGCATCGTTCCTTGATTGTTGGTATGGGTTTTTCAGCCGGCCCGGGAGGGCACGGTCTTCCTGTACACTAAATAGCTGAGGGTCCGCCACGCCCTAGGGCATAGCGGAGTATGAATAATAATATAATCTGCCCAATGAGGCACAAAAATACACAGCATGAGGGCTTGCCACTTCGCATAGCGCCGAACACACTCATGATGCATTCCGATCGATGCCGCATGGGTAGAGGCACGGTAGCTATTACGGGCGGCAGTGAAATCATAGAACCCTGACCTGAGCGCCAGCTTGAAGTTTGTACTGTTTGCCATTATCAGTGTCCGGGTCTGTGACATCAAAGGGAGTGCTTGGACTTACGACCGGTATGCCTGAACCATTTGGCGAACCAATGCACCCAGGTCGTTCAAAAACAACGAGTCCCAGAATGTCATTGCACCCGCCCTCTGGATGGAGTCGACGCTGTCCAGCTTTTCTACAGCTCGAACATGACTGAACTCTTCGCCAGGCCCCAGCAACCGAGCATGTTGGATGAAATTCTCGATCCACCGTTTCAATTCAAAGAGCTTGAGGACCGTGGCGTTGGCAGTTTTCTCCTCGAAATTGGCATCATCAATGCCGTCTCCGCCATCTGCGAGAGCTATGCGAGTCGCATCTGCCCCGAACTTTTGCACAGCGCTGGTAAGGGTGAGAAAGTTGCCCGTGCTTTTGCTCATCTTCTCGCCGTTTAGTGTTAGGTGGCCATTCAGCCTGATGCCCTTTGGAAAAAAGTCTGGCTCCTTCTTGCCCCATATCGCTTGATGGATGTAGAGGATGAAAAACAAATGGTTGTTGACAAGGTCCTTCCCGCTGATGCGCACATCCAAAGGGTACCAGTAAGTGAACTCCCTCCTCATAGCGTCGAGGGTGACTTTCGGGATATCACTCTGTACTCCATCAGCCAGAGCAAAAATGTACTCCCACACACCATCGGTCATTTGCGAAGCCGTGACATCCGCACTCTTAGGGAGCTGTCCATAAATGTCGGAATGGAAAAACCCCGCGATAGTGTAATACGCCATGTAGATGGTGGAATCCGACAGGCCCTCCACCATTTGGGACGGGTTCCATGGCAGATCCGTTCCCAGACCATACTGGCGAGTAACGGACCACTCCTTCATCCACCCAAACGTCTGTTCCAGCGAGTGCTTCGTGACCGTACTGAAACAGTTGAAGCCGAGTCCATCCTCGCCGCGGAGGTGACCGACCGTTTCGACCCTCCAACCCTCATCTACGCCGTATGCGAGAAACCACTGGTCCAGAAATGCCGCGACACAGTTCTCGCCTGAACGTGAGATGACGGCGCCATCGGGCTCGCAATAGACAAAGGCATCTCCGGAGTCTAGAAGCTGCTGGCGGATCCGGGCTTTTCCCTCAGGGACGGGCATTCCAGTAAACGGGCCGAAGGCCATCGCGCCGTGGTAGAAGCCGACCTCGTAGGCCAGCTCCTTGGCCTCAAGCAACTGCCGCTCGTCCTTGGGTGAATTGATCTTGAGCTTTTTGACAAGAGTTGGTGCGATCAAGTTGCCGTACTCGGGCGTGTCAATGATCGGCAACATGTCCTGGCACACCCACTGGGGACCGATTCCGTAATACGCAGCCTTCTTGAACAACTCGAGCGTCATGATATGGTCGTCTGGGCTATCCGAGGGCACCGAGGCAACCAAGCCTGTTCCTTTGGTTTCTTTGATCGTGTCCATAGGGATCACATACACGACGTCTCGAGCGCTGAGAGGTGGACGAACGATTGAGCCAACCAGGCCGGATCCTTTTATCTCCATGACTTTGGGGACGGTTCCCCAGTCAGGGGAGATGCCTTGAAAGCCCATGTTGCGGGCTGATCTGTCTGTGGCGAGGTAAAAGACCGTGTCGGAAACTTTGAACATGCCATACGTGATGTTGGGCGAGACGAAAAGGTTCGTTTGGCCGTACAGGGTCTCCGGACGCAGAGTGGCTGGGATAATAAAGACGTCGGCGGGACTCAGGATATTGTTGTTGGACGAGATGACCATTCCACAACCTTGCATTTCAAGGCGATGTACTCCTGAACCAGGACACCCTCGCCTGAAGCGCGATCATGATCCAGACACGGCTGGCCATCTTTCGGAGAATAGACCGTGTACCGTTTCCCGAAGCGAATCTTGCTGAGATCCCTCAACTTCCGCATCTGCACGGACGAATGAGTCGTAGTACGGGTTGATGTCGGTCGTGATGAAGCTGCGGCGCCAGTCAATGCCGCAGCCAAACTCGGTGAGGTGCTGCTGCCACAGGTTAGGGAAGTAGTGCAGCCAGTATTTGGCGTCAGCGAATTTGTGAATCTCCTCGCGGGGGATGCCCAACGACATCATGACCTGAAACTGGTATTGTGCCTTGGCGGATTTCAGAGCTGCCTTGCCTGTTATGACATTAGCAACGTAAACTTATTCTTTAACACTTCGCGGCTTTACCTTTCTTCAGGTTCGTGAACATGGTAACATCGTCCTTGGACTGGGGCCGTGGCTCTGAAGCATCACCCGATTCTTCGATGGCGTCACTCTCGTTATAGCCGGTGAATAGCTCCCCGAATATAGCAATCTCGCTCGCAAGCTTGTCTGCGCACGCCTTGATAGGCATGCCCGTTGCGTGATACCCCTGAGGATACAAGGTGTTCTTGCCTTCGGCCCTAGCAACGCGAGTAGTGAAGTCCACTTTGGAGACGGTGAAGCCGTGACCCAGATGCGGGACGCCATTCACATAGCTGAGCATCTATCAGCAGAGGCCTCGATGCAGGAGTGAGGTCGACTTACGGATATGCCATAGTTCCTAAGTTGTGAAGTTAACACCTGCCAAGAAACACGGGGAACCTTGCGATGGTCAATACTAACCAAAGAACTTGGGCACCTTGGCCCGCAGCTCATCTGCCGAAATCGAGCCCAGCGGATATTCCGAGCATGGCAGAGCATCGCTCTCAAAGACCCTTTCCGCTGCCCAGAGCTTTTAGTATTTCTTCTCAATTGCTCTGAAGGTATCCCTCTTCTCCGTCTACCAATGAGGTAAGGTCAGTTTGTCGGAGGCAAGAACATCGTGGGAATGACCAAACCGTAGAATCGTACATTTTCGATCTTGATCGTGCCGTGTGAGTTTACGTTGGTATCCATGGCTGGTGTGAGCGCTGCCGCTGCTGCCGAATTGATGTCGTCCATGTCTGAACCTTGACTACTAACGTTTCCTCATGACCAACGGAATTCTGGCGAGGAATATTGCGAATGGTGTTTGTTGCACTCTACAGCGCGAGTTTTGGCGGCGAGTTGTCACAAACGCTGAGGAGACTGGGGAGATGGGCCGTTGAGTTGAACCACATGACTCACCCAATGCGCCTCGTTCAGTGTGTCTGAAGTTGGCAGTTGGTTGAAGCGCGGTTAATCCCCCGTTCAACTGGCTCTAGCCTGCACACCTGGTAGGTAAGCATGGGTGTTGTGAGTACTGTGTGATGGTTAATACCCGAGTGACACAGTGCAGACAGCCAGGATGAACTTGTTCCGTTTCACAGTAATTCCACCACAAGTTCTCGGCCGAATTGTTATATTGAATCGGTCTAACCGAGACGCTATTGAGCTATCTGAACTAGTTCCTTCGCTATTCAGAGGTCCGCAAAGACCACAGACCTCGTCCCCATTTTGCCCACACCAGGTCGCCCCTGGATTGCCCAACACACAGCAGCAACCAGGGGCCGTCTGCACCCAGACCTCCCCCATCCCCTTTCGGGAACCCTCCACACTCACCACTACCACTACCCCATCCCCAGCAGCGGTAGAAACAACACCGACGCCATCACCGACGCCCACCCCCTCACCACCAACACCAAAACCAACCTCGGTGGCATCGCCAACAACAACCAGCGCGACACCAGCCTTCGTCACCCGGGGCTTCCCGCCCCTTTTTAGTCAATCGCGCCCGTTGGCAGCGACCATGGCCTCCGAGCTCTCATACCCACTAAGATAGTCGCCAAACACACGCTCTTCGATATCCATGTCCTTCCATGCTCTACCCGTCGATTTGCGCGCTTTTCTCCTGAAATACACGCGCTTGGCCCATTTCCAAGCCTCGACACCGGCAAAGAACAGCCCCGCAGCGATAAACACAATGCCCCACTCCCAGCTGATGCCGGTGTGCTTGAAGACGGCGTGGTTGATGACGGGGATGTAGAGGGTGGGGAAGAGCGAGACGAAGCCGAACACGATGGCCCAGAAGAGGAACTTGTTGCGCCAGACGTCGTGGAACCACTGGGTGAAATAGCGCTTGCTGCCGGGCTGCATGCGGAAGAAGGAGCGGCGCATGTCGACGACCTCCCAGGCGAGGAAGAGGGAGAACCAGGTGAGGCAAGCGAAGGTGGTGGCGCGGGCGCGGAAGACCGTGTCGCACTCAGCGCTGTAGTAGTCGTTGCAGTTCTCGCCCAGGTTGCCGTTGCCCCAGGCGTAGACGCGCAGCGAGAAGCTGGCCAGGCACAGCGCGGCCACCCACAAGCCGTAGACAACCATGTCAACGAGGAATTCGAAGGTGAAGATGCCCATCTTGAGCGAGTGCGGCGGGCGACGCATGATGTCAGGGACGGCGCGCTCGAAGCCCAGACCCATATCGGGCAGACCGGATGTAATCATGATGATCCAGACAATTTCGACAGGGGCGAGGGGGAAGACGGAGAGCGAGGAGGCATCCTTGAAGACGAGCCCCACGAGGAGGGTACCGGCTTGGGCCAGGTTTTCAGCCAGGACGTGCAGGACGAACTTTTGGATGTTGTCGAAAATGCGGCGGCCTTCTTCAATAGCAGCCACGATGGAAGCGAAGTTGTCGTCGGTCAACACAATGTCGGAGGCGTCCTTGGCTACGTCGGAGCCGGATTGGCCCATGGCAATGCCGACGTCCGCGCGCCGCAGGGAAGGGGAATCGTTCACGCCATCGCCAGTCTACAGGTGCTTCGTTAGTTTTCGGACAACATTCCGGTTTGCGCGTAAAAGGGACGTACCATGGCAACAAATTTGTTGCGGCGGTGGAGCGCGTCAATCATGCGGACCTTGGTGCTCGGGGCGCACCGTGCAATGACCAGAGGCAAGACCGGGAGCTCGTCAACCTGCGCATCAGAAAGCCCGTCGAACTGCGCGGCAGTCATGACCATGGCGCTGGCGATATCGGCACTGACCCGGTTCATGGCCTTAGGCAGGATGCCCACCTCGATAGCGATCGCCTTGGCCGTCTCTGGGTGGTCGCCAGTGAGCATGTGAACGGAAATGCCGGCCTCGTGGCACTCGCGCACGGCCGGGGCCGACTCGGGGCGGGGAGGGTCGTAGAGTCCAATCAAGCCGAGGAAGGTCAGGTCCTTCTCGATCTCGTTGCGGTCGGTATCCTCGTTGGCACCCATGGCCGGGTCCAGCTTCCTGCTCGCGAGCGCCAGCACACGCAAACCAAGACCGGCGAAGACCTCCATGTTGGACAGAATATGGTCCCGGAACTCGTCCGTCATCTCGGCTTCGGCGACCTCGCCCTTGGGCACGTCCTCGGTGCAGTACTTGGTGCACACCCGGATGACACGCTCCACGGCACCCTTGGTGAAAGCGAAATGATCTCCAGTGGTGTTGTGCTTCATGATGACGCTCATGCGCTTGACGTCGCTGTCGAACGGGAATTCGGCCACCTCCAGCCACTCCGGGGTGTTACCTTCGGTCTCCTTCATGACGTCCAACCTGTTCTTGCCAAAACGGCTGGCAAAAACCTGGATGGCGATCTCGGTAGGGTCACCGCGGGCAACCCAGGTACCCTCCTTCTCGAAGACGGTGGCAACGTTGGCGAGCGAGGCAACGGTGAGAAACTCCTGCAGGCGGGATTTGCTGGACGCGAGCAGATCGGCAGGCGAGGATACGGGGGCCTTTTCACCGGCTGTCTCCTCTTCCTTGTCGGAGCGCGGGCGAAAGTTGATCTCGTGAGGCTCACGGGTATCGAAGCGGATATCTCCCTTGGTCGGGTTGAACGGTTCGCTGGAGGTGAGCTCGACAGTGTACGTGCCAATACCGGGAATCCATGCGCCACGGGCAACCATCTTACCCTGCGTGAGGGTGCCGGTCTTGTCGCTGCAGATGTCGGTCACGGCGCCGAGAGCCTCCAGACTCTTGAGGTTGCGGACAATGACGTTGCGTTGCACCATGCGCTTAGTACCGGCTGCCATGGTAATGGTAAGGACGACGACGAGGGAGGCGGGGATCATGGAAAGACCAGTGGCCACGGCGTAGATGATGACTGCCTGCGAGGTGTGGAATTTGTTGGCACCCAGAACGATGATGGCGCAGACGACGGCGACACCGAACAGGAGCATGGCCAGTTTGCTGAGCTTGCGCTGCAGCGGCGTGCCGACGTTGACGCCCAGGAAACGACCGAGGGCATCGCCGAGAGTGAGAGTGTAGGCTTCGAGATAGCGGTGGGGTCCAGCTTTGCCATTCGGCTTGCGCTTGACAGGGCGCACGCGCCGTTCCTTTTGGTTGAGGGCCGAGGCGATGGCGCCGATCTCGGTGAAGGTAGCGGTCGCGAAGACAATGCCCTTGGCGCGGCCTTTGGTTACGGTCGAACTGCTGTAGGCAACGTTGAGCCGGTCGCCGGGGCCGGTGTTGTCGTCGAAGGTCGCATGCTCGCGCTTCCGCACGGGCAGGGATTCGCCAGTCAAGAGGGCTTCGTCGGTTTCAAAGTTCTTGGCCTCGATGAGTCTGCAAAAACTTGTCAGGGACACGCCCGCACAAGAGTAACGGCGAGAAACGGAAAAGAGAAGACATAAAGCCACGACGCGCCGTGCTTCCGTACCTGATATCGGCGGGGATGGTGTCACCCATCTTAACCTCGATCAAATCTCCAGGAACGACTTCGCCGGAAGGAACTACCATGGCTTCGCCGCCACGGACGACGGTGGCCGTGGGGGAACTGAGCGAGCGCAAGGAATCCATGGTCTTCTCGGCCGAGTACTCCTGGAAGAAACCGACGACGACGTTGAGAAGGATGACGGCGGCAACGACGCCGCCCTCGATCCAGGACTGGATGCCGAAGCTAACGGCCATGGCGAGGATAAGAACCTGTGTTTGGCCATGATCAGAATCTCCAACATTCCTGAATTGAAGAAATGGGCACAGTTACCAATGTCATGGCATTGGCGATCTGGGCGATGATAATCTTGAGGGGCTGAACACCCTCCTCCTCGCCCAGATCGTTCCGCCCATACTGCTCTAGCCGGGCCTTGGCCTCGCTCGCTGTCAGTCCAGACAGAACGTCGGCATTCAGCTCGCTGGCCAGTTGCTCATACGTGAGGGCATGGGCAGGGCGGCTCGTGGGGTTATTGGACTGGCCGGAGACATGGCCGCCCGAAGGCTGCCCGTCATTGCTCGCACCCATGTCGTCGATGGGGGGGTCAACGGGATGGGGTCTCGCAGATGGAGGACGTGAGGTTGTTGTATAACGATATCGGTTCAATGGTATGGGTTGGGCTGTCTGAGACTGCCGCGCGCAGGTATGGATCAATGTCTTTGTTGGAAAAGACAAGCCAGTCCGACACTGGCTTGGTGGTTTGGGGGAAGCTGCAGAGTAAAATACCAAGCAGCCAAGCAAGCCTCTCGTCCTTCTCCCAACATCCACGCCGATCGACCCGCAATGGTTCTGGGATTAGTCGCAGTCTCGACTTCTCGTTTGCTGGTTTGGAGAGGAAGGCGAGGATGTGCAGCCCTTGGCATCTTGGCGACCTTGGCGGGATGGACCATTGAGGTGCAGTTCGGTATCGTTTTCGTCGCAGTCGGTTGGAGAACGGGAGGGGGCGACGTCGGGCGCACCGGGGTTGGTCGTCGTCATTGATGAATCTTTCCTTCCTTCTCGGCGCTCGTCATTTCTTTGACATCCATATTTGTTGTATCTCGAGAACGGCCCTCTCGCTTGTTGGGATGTTGGTTCCTGATTCTGTGATGGGATTATCCAAACCGCGATCCCAAGTGATCCCACACATGGTTCAATGGCTTGTGGTCGCGCGTTGCGAGCAGTGGCAAGAATGTCGTCATGTTGGTCGGGGGGCAGACCCGGGGGCGCTGGACCACGGCAACCGCAGCCGGTGCTGCAGGGGATGCTCGCCAGGACGGCCGGCCTGCCAAGAGTGCCAAGTCCCGGAGCAGTGCGAGCCCGCATGGAAGGGGCCAGAGCGGAACCCCACGGAAAACCTCGGAAGAACCACACCATCAGCAATTGGCGGTTACCCACACTCAACATTGTTAGTGCTCACTTCCCCAGGAACAATTTCAGCCCACCGAATTTTTGCCTCTTCTCGAGTCTGATACGGGTCTGCTTGGCACTACGCAGGCTTCCCCCACGTGCGCCCACGAACACATTGATTGGGCACGCCACCAGACAAGGCCCCGCGGGGCGACAGCCTTGAGGATTCTGCCATGCATCATCAGCTGATAGATGATTAAAAAAAAAAAAGTGGATGTGTTGACTGGCGAATGTTGGGGCACAGGTTGGTTCTTTTCTTCCTCAAGGCTGCTCAAAACCTGGTGTCCCCCGCACTACACAACTCCGATGTAGCTGCCCGTTGTGCTGTTTAATTAACGAGTGCATATGCTGCGTGTAAATAGTTACACATTCAGTGCTTAAACAGCATTTTTGGGGTCATGCTGCGGGGCGACAAGCACGGCGGAGACGATGTGTGTTTCGGGGAAGGAGGCACGTGCCTGCCCGCAAACCACTCTTCTATGGAACCTGCAACTTTTAACGAGGCAAGCACCATACGGCAATTCTGCTGATGCGCAAAACGAAACCCTCTATTCGTGGAGCTGCATGCATTGGAAACAACCACCGTGTTTCTCCAACGTCTGGACGGCCACAACCCGGATGTGGGGGTTCGCGGCCCAAGCTGCTGTTATTATCCAACCCCTTGTTGATGGTCGTACACCGCCTCGCGTGCCTGCCTGCCTCATTGGCGTTGCCAAGGCTGCAAGAAAATGACACCCTCATCTCGGTAACCATTGGATTGATCGTTAGTGATGTCCGATAACGTTAGCCGTCCCGCAGCCGGCGTTGCATATCCCGGCTGCTCGGCTTAAAATCCACGTCGCCCCATCATTGTATCATGAAGATGCACAACCAGGAATCAAGCTGGGGGTAGCACAAGAACAGCAAGCTCCACATCGAGGAGGTTGGACTCGGCAAAGGAAGCTCACCCCTCTTGAAAGAAGAAACAGGAGCTTAGCTCGACCTGTTTCATGCAGCCAAGCCCGAGTAAAGCCATTCAGGACTCGTTCAAGCTCGTTATCATCGAACAGCAGCGATAACAGGTTGTCGTACGACATCACATGTCCGCAGTGAACGTCATATGTTGCGTTACCTAGGGGGATTACAGCCTGCTCGACCAACAAAACAATCGACGATGAACGGTCTGTTCATGTCCCATCTTTTGGTGGCGCGACGGTCCTATCCAACTATAAAAACGGGCAAAGTTTCATGGCCGGTTCTATTCACTACCTACCTATTTTCCAAGCCCACACAAGTATTTTTGCCTTGCAAACGAAACCATACTCGAGCCATGTCTTTGATCACAACTCGCCCGCACGAGGTGGCAGATGCCACGCTAAAATATTTATCGAGTCTTTCCATAGTCTTGACCGATTGGGAGATTCGTTTCTCCTGTATAAAGAACGAAAGCGACTTCTGGCCCGCTATATGCCAACTGCATCTGCTTTCAAAGCTGCAACGGATCAAGATACAATTCGAGTTCATAGCTTCTTCCTACCTTTACAAGAAAGAGGATCGTTTGGTAGCGCAAGAAACCTGTCTCTTCAAAGAGCAAATGGAAACCATGAACCAGCTATGGCATATTTGTAACCGCCGCATGACGGGCATCGACGAGGCCATGGCCGAGTGTGGATTTGGCAACAGTATACCGTGTAGAAAGCTTTTTAAACAATTGCCGCCCTACTACAGCCAGGTGCCGGCCGACATTCACCTCCAGGAGGTGGCTCAGGGACGTTCGGTTTACGAATGGGCAGATCATAAAAGGCATCAGTATGAGAAGGACCCTGCCTTTCAGAACAAGAGTCGCGGCGTTTTGGAACGGCAAATCTGGGACGACTTGCCCCCAGAGCTGAAAGAATGGGTGCCCAAGCCAAAGGAAGAGCCTCTGGCCTTCCAACTAAGTTGGCATGATACAATGAGCAACACAGAATTTCAAGAGAAGCTCTTATCGTGTCTTCAGACATTGCGACGAGACGCCAGGGCTGACATGGCGAACTGTGCTTGTAAAATGAGCAAACCCAACACCCACTCAATGACGCGCAAACCTAGGGGTATCTTGAGAAGGAGAAGTCTGAAGAAACTGCAGCCAGGAGCAGAAGTCATCATGAGATGGTTCAGAACATATTTTACCATATCACGATGAGGCACTGAGCTGTTTCTAAGCAAGACGTTAGACATATTACGTCCATTACCCGCCTAGGTGGTATAAACAAACAATAACAAACCCCTATTACTCCTAACGCCTGCTTCACAACCCTACGTCTACTCCTTTGTTAGTTTCTCGGCCAACTTGCCAGCTACCACCTCGCCGACCTGAATCAACGATCCCGAACCCATGATTTCCAAAACACTAATCACGATGCCAAATACCCGCCTCAACCACCTCCTCAACTCAATCGCCATCAGTGAGTCCAAGCCAATCTGTGCTAGCGTCAACCTTGTGTCCACCTCCTCGTCGCCAGTAATCGGCTTCAAGATAAATTCGTAGATCTTCCCCCCGATCTCGCGCGCCAGAAATGCCACAACCTCGGGGTCGGCCAGCCGGTTCTTCACACTCTCCCCGTCAGAGCTGATGATATTGTCAAGGAACAGAGCCATCCGGCTTTCCCCAGACGACGAAGCCTTGTGTTCCTCGTCCGGCCGAATGTTGTGATATCTGCCCATGCGGCGGTCCCGGCGCCAGTTGGTGCGACTGTTGGGGTCGTCGAGGGGCAGGTCCGAGGCGGATCGTAGACCCATGACCACCTGGTTGGGGTTTTCCCAGGATTGCAGAACCGACGCTCCCGGTAGGCTGCTAGGCTTGACCCCCACCTCGATGTTGCTCCTTGACCCAGCCGCTAGGATGTTGTGCGCGACAAAGTCGAGGAACTCGTGCTCCCCGAGGGTGTAGAGTCCCTGGGCCTTGATGCTCCGGCGTGCGTGGGCATTCTCGGCGACGTACCCAACGCCGCCGATGGGGCTGATGTTGAGGACAGTGGCCGGAAGCCCGAGGGAGTGGCGGTATTGACAGAAGGCTTCGAGGAAAACGCAACCTGCCGAGTAGTTGCTTTGCCCAGCCTCGTCGACCAGCGTGACGATGGAGCTGGCCATCCAGAAGAAGTCCAGGGGCTGGTCCGCGAGGACGTCGTGCAGATTCCACGTTCCTCGGACCTTGGGGCCAATCGTTGCGTTCCACTGGGCCCATTTCATGTCCACAAGTGGTGCATCCTGAGCATGTTAGTCAGATAATGCCCGATGTTCCGCGGGGAAGGGGATACTCACGTTCATGACCATGGCGAGTTGAAAGACTCCCCTGACAACCTTGCCAGAGCTGGAGACTGCCGCCAGAATATCTTTTTTGTTCTCCACACTTCCCACCACGACATTGACCGAACAACCCATGGCTCGAAGTTCCTCGAACAGAGCCTTGCTTTCGGGGTTTGTACCCGCACCCCTTGACAAGAACGTCAAGTTTCTGGCTCCGTGTTCCACAAGCCAGCTGGACATGGAGGTTCCCAGACCTTTGGCACCTCCAACCAGAAGGTATGTAGCGTCTGGGTCCAGGGTGACCGACCTGGGCAGCGGGACCGCGTTAAGTGTGGAGGCATCATCTGGCATGTTAACAACGACTTTGCCAATATGGCCGGCGTTCTGGAGATGTCGGAAAGCCTGTTCGACATCGCCCGCCTGGAAGTAGGAAACAGGATGCGGCAATCGCAACCGGCCCTGTTCATACATGTCGACGTACTGCGTAAGCAGCCTGGTACACACCACGTGGTTAGCAGCCGTCCAAGCCTCATAGGAGACAAGTAACTTACTCGGTAACCTTCTCCGGCCTTTCTGCCACGTATTGCAACAGATCAACCCCAGCATACGTTCGGTTGGCCAAAAACGGCGCCATATCCAGCCTGCCCGCGCCCGCCAAATCCCTCTTCCCCAACTCCAACAACATCCCATACTTCGCCACACACCCCCAACTCGCATGCAACAACTCCCCCGACAGCGAATTCAGCACCAAATCCACCCCCCTCCCTTGCGTCTCCCTCATCACACCCTCCACAAACCCCCCATCCCTCGACCCAAACACCCTCTCCCTCCTCACCCCCCAATCCCCACCCACCAACCACTCCACCTTCTCCTCACTTCCCACCGTCACGAACACCTCCACCCCCCCAACCATCCGACAAACCTCCAGCGCCGCCAACCCCACGCCCCCACACGCCGAGTGCACCAGCACTGACATGCCCTGCCTGAGCCTCCCCACCTCCAGCAGCGCATGCATCACGGTGCCAAAACACACCGGCGCCGCGGCCGCCGCGCCCAGCGGCATGGCATCGGGGATGCGCACGACCAGCGCGGCGGGCACGCACAGCGTGGTGGTCAGCGTGCTGTGCGGGGAGAGGAGCAGCACGCGGTCGCCGGGGCGGAAGCGAGTGGCTGCGGCGGGGCCGGTGCCGGTGTGGAGGATGGTGCCGGAGGCTTCGTAGCCGAGTGGGGTGGGTGTGTGGAGAGGGGCGGGGATGGTGCCCGTGGCGAGGAGGATGTCGCGGAAGTTGAGGGCCGCGGAGTGGATCCGGATGAGGACGTGGGTTGGGGGGAGGTGGCTGGGGGAGAGGAGGGCGGTGGTGGTCCAGGTGAGGGAGGGGAGGTGGCCGGGGTGGGGGATGCGGAGGGTTGTGGCGGTTGGGGGGATGGAGTGACATGGGGAGACGGTGGTGATGGGGGTGGGGGTGCTGGCGGTGGTGTTATCAGGGGGTAGAGTTTGTTCGCGAGTGATACTGAAGGGGTGGTAGCGGCTGAGGAGGATGGTGCCGTTGTCAATGGCGAACTCGCGGTCCGCGTTGAGGATGTCGCCGTCTTGGGAGTTCTGGACCTTCTTGACGAAGACCTTGGAGATGAGGTGAACAGCATGCTGCGCTTCACGCTCGTAGTCGAGCTCGAGGGTGAATAGCGAGAGGCCTAGCTCGGCGCGGATGGTCCGCATGACCCCGAGGGCTTGGGCACCGCGCGGGTCGCGGCATTTGACTTGGAAGGGCGGAGTGAGCCATAAGATACGGCTGTCCTTGTCCTGGAGATGGCGAAGGAGGCCTTGGAATGCTGTAAAGTTGGCTTCTGTGAGATACCCCTGGTCGAAGAACCGTGTTTCGAGGTCGATACAAGAAATGATGTCTCGCCCGGTAGGAGGGAGCTCGCCCAAGCGGCACGGCAAGACATCCCAGCCCTCGCTCTCAAGTCCGGCAACGAGGGATTGTACAGGTCCATCTGCAGGATCCTGACAAAGAAGCGTAACCTTCCTGTCAGGTTCTGTCTTTTCCTCCACCTTTGGTCTCGACACCATCACAACGCCCATCTGCCACGGCATCTCCCCGTCCGCCACAAGAGCATCCACCCCTGTGAAGCCGGCTGCCTTGAGTTCCTCATCCCACCGCTCCGGCAAGACATACGGCTCCCAAACCCGGCCGTCCTCCTCCCCAAGCCACCAACCGCTGAAGTTGCCAAAGATGAACGTCGGCATCCTCATAACGGTAGACAGCTCCACCAACAACAGCATCCCATCATCCTTCAGCAGCGGTCGCAAGTTCGCCAGCGTCTCCCTCAAGCACGGCGTGGCATGCACCACATTGGGCGCCACCACCAGATCATACGACCCAGCCACAAACCCCTGCTGCAACGCATCCCTCGTAATATCAAACGCCTGAAACCTCATATTCGGCGCCCCTTTAAACCGCTCCCTCGCCTGCGGGAAATACCCCGCCGACACATCCGTAAACATATACTCCGCATACCCCGGCACCTCCCCCTCCCCATCACCACCATCACCCCCTGTACCGTGACATGGAGGCTCTGCGCTTTACGGAGGGGCAATCCGTGATGTTAAGCTTTTGGCTTGGGAAGATCACGGCTGGAGTTCCGACTGCCGAGTCCATTCCTGTCAAATTAACATTCTAGAAGCTTCGACATGGTCATAGATGCAAAAGACATAGCCGGCAGTGTTCAAGTTTGGCTACAGACTCAATATCTAGTTATTGAGTTACTGGTTTACCTAGTTACATCGTGTTTTAACTATGCCAGCTTTCTCGCCCAAAAATGCCCCCATTTGACATCATCTCGAAACTGATCCCACCGATCACAGTTATTGTTTAACATTCTTCCCAGCCCGGTGTAATATCCTTCTAACGATAACGTATATGTCCTGCCCCTAGAGATCCCTGCCGTTTTCCTTTACCCCTTTTCTGAGTCCTCACATCTTGAGGAGCCACTTCTCCTGAGCTCGTTGATCAAGGCCCCGAATCCACTGCACCGTTTTCCGCGCCGTGTAGTCAGATAGCTCTTCGTACTCGGTCGTGTCCCTGGCCATCAGCCTGGCGAGTGCGTGCTCCCAGGGCGCAATATCCTGGGGAGGGACAACATAGTCACCGGTCTTGGCGTCCACCTCGCCCGTCACCATCTTCACAGGGAACGAGGTAAGGGAGGTCAATCTTAGCCTCGGGAATGCCGCCTGCGTC